TGCTGATTTTAAACAGTCCTCTCCTGTCTTCACTTCTCGTGCTTCCAACAAAAGAATTGGGTTGTTTTCTAACAATCACACCTGGCCAATAAAACGGATTCTGATTTTGATTCTGACACAGTAACAACCTGCATTGTGGTTAACTGAAGGGAGAAGCTTAAACCTGTCGGTAAGCTAGGCTATAGCCATGTCTCAGAAGAAAAAAATGCCTATAAGAGCATTGTTGCAACAGAAATACAAGTGTGCTGCCTGTCTTATTATTCCAACAAATCCATATGGCACCCAGTCAATATATATCATCCATTTAAATAGGCTTCGATTTTAATATTGCATTACATGCAGCTGTCTTTTATTGATTCTTAAATGTTCTAAAATATGTTCCTGTCACTCTGTTAAAATTAAATACAGATGTTGATGTGGTCCAAATCATAAATGAAATTCATGCCAGTTGACTTTCTGACAATCTAGGCTATACATATATTTTAAAAAAAAAAAAGAGAAAGAACAAATAGTCACACTGACAAGCTGACTGCCAATTGATTGACAAAATCTTTAGTCGGGTACAGCCCTACTGATCTCATTGCCCTGAACAATTACAGTGTTGTCTGCATACTTTAGAATGCCCCTGTTATCGTATCTGCTTTGACACATATTTGTATGAAGAATAATTAGCAAGGGTGAAAGCACACACCCATGATCAGACAAAACTCCATTTACCCTCACTCTCTGTGTCCTGTTTGTTAAAAGTCAAGAATCCCACCCACTAGATCAAGTGGGGGCGACTGTGGTTCAGTCGATAGAGCAGTTGTCTCCCAACTGGAGGGTCGGAGGTTTGAATCTTAGTGCCTGCAGTCCACATGTCGAAGTGTCCTTGGGCAAGACACTGAAACCCCAAGTTGACCCTGATGGTTAAAGCCATTGGTGTGAGTTGACGCCGCAGATGGCTACCTCAGTTCTGTACCGAAAACAAATTCCTTGTGTGTAACATACTTGGACAAATAAAGATGATTATCCATTATTATTATCCAAGTTGTTATGAAGGCCTGTACAAAAAACTGGTTAGTGCAATGCTCCAGGCAATAAATGAATCTAAATCAACATAAAGTTCCCATGAGTAATGAAAACAAATGTGTGTTTCAGATTGAGGACATCCAAATCAGCATTGACAAGATTGATGAAAGTGTCACAGAAATAAAAAAACACTACTCCATCATCTTGTCAGCCCCCACGCCTGAGCAGAGTAACTACTTCTGACACAAACACACATACATTAATATTTTCAGGTCTGTTACCTCTTACTTTAAATTAACTCTTGGTGTTAATAATCTCCCTTTGCTCTCACTCTCTTTGTCAGAAACACAAGATGATGTTGAAAGCCTCACCAATGAGATCAAGAAGTCAGCCAACAATGCAAGAAGCAAACTTAAGAGTCTGTCGTTTACATTTTTTTCCAGTAAAATAAATAGTCTCTATGGGATGGGTGGAAGTGTTATGAAAATATTATATTATATTATATTATAGCATTTGTTTTTTGAGACAGATTCTGAAAACTGAAACAGTCTAGATACCCCATGGTCTAATTGGAAAAATATGTTTGTGGTTTAGGTGAAGTGACTCTTTTAATGCTAACAATCATGTTATTTTCAAGTGAAGTTGGTACTGAAATGTGAGTGTCTACCACAGCAGCCACTCTCATGACAATAAATACCATGCTTGAGAAGAAATATTCTGTACTTGACCATAATTACTGAATAATCTAGTGTTGTGTCAAAAGTGTTATATTTCAGTACTGTCTAATGTTGCATTTACATGTGCACTATTCTGTTTACACCATTTCTGGAAAAGACCCATTTGAAGCTCTCTCAATATCTATGAGCAGTCTCTTTCCTTCAAAGTAACAGATGAATCATGGTATTGGTTACTGACTTGTATTTGTCTTTCTTTTCCTTACTCTGTATATGTTTCTGTGTGTGCATCAGGTATTGAGCATCAGCTTGAGTCAAACACAGACAAGAGAGCCTCAGCTGACCTAAGGATACGCAAGTCACAGGTCAGACAATACAACAGTAAATGAAGTCTATTTGACCCAACTATACCTCAAAGGTGAAAATGTGTTACTCTGACAATCCAATAGATGATTCTAGCACAGCTCTCATATTAAAGTGGTAAAGATTAGGCTGCCTAAAATTCTACCAAACAGATTTTCAATCAAATTTGGCTGAGGTGGAAGAATTCATCTAGCTATTAACTGTGCTGGTCCTAAAGCCTTCCCCGCTGCCTTATCACTATTGGCCTGAATTAAAGATACTATGTCAAGACACTATATTTATACATAATTATATTACATTATAACAGCTTCCTCCTACAGGTTGGATTATTGTAACTTACTGTTGTGGCAAAATTTTGAGTCAAACACAGGCAAGAGAGCCACAACTGACCTAAGGATACACAAGTCACATTAGCAGTTATTACATATTTATTTCTGCAGAAAGGAGCGATCTCTAAACAGAGTGTCTAACCCAGTCTGATGAACAGAAGCTCTCAGAACAGAGTGCTACCTCTCTTCTTATACACACACATACAGTTGCAGGAAACAAATGCTCAAACTGATGGGCAACAGGATACCAGATAATACAGGATACTAGCCATCTGGCTCTTCAGTCACACAAATGCCTGCATACCATGACTACAAAGGGTACTAGACTACAAAGCAAATACAGCTAATACAATTAAAAGGGTGCTACCATAAAATTACTCAGCAGGTGTGAGAGCTAACAGCAAAAAAAAACAAGCATTACTGTAAATCTTAATAATCAGTAACAGAAAAACACTGCATTTAACTATCTTCTATTCACAGCCACACTGGTATCAGAAAATAAAACTGGTTGAAGAGCAAAACAATTTAAAAGTGAAAAAGTCTCAAAAACTGTAGACATAAAAGCTTTTAGATGCTTGAAGGTGTGCATAAAGATGGTGATCATTTGTTGGTGATTTTAGACTGTGTCGGGGAAGCTACTTTGAAAGCATAGCTTTGCAAGCTACCAATTACTTCACAGTAAAATAAGGTGAACTAAAGCAAGGCTATTGTAGGGAGAAATCTAGTTTGGTTGCTAAAACAACTTAGGAAAACTAGTTAAAACTGCTTTGTAAAGAATGATTAATTTGACAGTGTACATGTGATACAAAATTACAGCTAAATATAATACAAAAAGGCACATGCCAGTAATAAAATGCCACATTGGGTTTATTACCTAACACCTTAACCTGTCCTACATAAAACAATTCCAATGCAATAAATGTTCTATTTTTGTTCTAGTTCTGGATTTTGTATTATCTGGCAACAAATAAAACGGTTTTAAAAAGACCAACTTGAGCACTGATCAAACATGTGGCCTATTGTCTTACTTCTCATTTATATACTGTACCACCTGACTAATACAGTCTATCCATCCATCCATTTTCCTCCGCTTCCCCGGAACCTGGTCGCAGGGGACGGCAGTCTAAGCAAAGATCCCCAGATTTCCCTCTCTTCAGACACTTCCTCCAGCTCCTCCGGGGGCATGCCAAGGCGTTCCCAGGCCAGCCGAGAGACATAGTCCCTCCACCGTGTCCTGGGTCTTCCCCCGGGCCTCCTCCCGGTGGGACATGCCCGGAACACCTCACTAGGAAGGCGCCCAGGAGCCACCTCAGCTGGCTCCTCTCGATGTGGAGGAACAGCGGTTCTACTCTGAGCTCCTCCCAGATGACCGAGCTCCTCACCCTATCTCTAAGGGTGCGCCCGGCCACCCTGTGGAGGAAGCTCATTTCGGCCGCCTTTATCCGGGATCTTGCCCTTTCGGTCATGACCCAAGCTCATGACCATAGGTGAGAGTCGGAACGTAGATCGACCAGTAAATCGAGAGCTTCGCCTTACAGCTCAGCTCCTTCTTCACCATGATGGACAGGTACATCGACTGCATTACTGCAGAAGCTGCACCGATCCACCTGTCAACCTCCCGTTCCATCCTTCCCTCACTCGTTAACAAGACCCCAAGATACTTGAACTCCTCCACTTGAGGCAGGAACTCTCCACCAACCTGAAGGGAACAAGCCACCCTTTTGCGACTGAGAACCATGGCCTTGGATTTGGAGGCTCACATGGGCAGCGACAGTGATACCTGGTGGGAAATGTACAGTAAAGATTCTTATTTATTTGATGATTAAGTTTTATTTCCTCAGTAGTTTGACATGTTTGAGGTCAAACTGTGATGACTGTGTCAGTGCTGATGTGCATGTGCGGCTTCTCAGAGGGAAGTGAAACGATGTGTGAGTGAGTGACTAGTGGAGCAGAAACACCATCTGACAGAAACTCCTTAAAGGAGGAAATCCATTCTCACACAGTAAAGGTGTCCAGGTGATTGACAGCTCAGGAATTGCCGCCGCAACAGGCACCGGAGACCTTATGACCACAGCTCTGAGCGGCTGCATCAGCAATGGAGGTGGGGAAAAAAGAGCATTCGGACTCAGTTTGCCATCGGATCCAGCTCACCACTAGGTGGTGATCAGTTGGCAGCTCCACCCCTCTCTTCACCTGAGTGTCCAAGACATACAGCCGGAGGTCAGATGAAACAACAACAAAGTCAATCATCGACCTCCGGCCTAGGGTGTCCTGGTGCCATGTGCACTGATGGACACCCTTATGCTTGAACATGATGTTTGTTATGGAAAAACTGTGACTAGCACAGAAGACCAATAACAGAACACCACTCGGGTTCAGATTGGGGGGGGGGGGCATTCCTCCCAATCACGCCCCTTCAGGTGTCACTGTCGCTGCCCACGTGAGCATTGAAGTCCCCCAGTAGAACAATGAAGTCCCCAGTCAGAGCGTTTCCCAGCACCCTTCCCAGAAACTCCAAGAAGGCTGGGTACTCTACACTGCCATTCGGCCCATAGGCACAAACGGCAGTAAGAGACCTATCCCTGACCTGAAGGCACAGGGAAATGACCCTCTTGTTCACTGTGGTAAACTCTCAACACATGGCGGCTAAGCTAGGGGGCTTACTAGCAAGCCCACACCAGCCCGCCACCTCTCATTGCGGGCAACTCCAGAGTAGTAGAGTCCTGCCTCTCTCAAGGAGTAAGGTTTCAGAGTACAAGCTGTGCGTGGAGGCGAGCCCGACTATATCTAGCCAGTACCTCTCAACCTCCTGCACAAGCTCAGGCTCCTTCCCCAACAGCGATGTGACATTCCATGTCCCCATGGCTAGTCTTCGTGTCCAGAGATCGGGTCGTCTGGGCCGCTGCCTTCAACTGCTGCCCGATCCATTGTGCACCAGCCCCTTAATGATCCTCCTGCAGGTGGTGGGCCCACGGGAGGACGTCAGCACATCGCTCATTCGGGCCAAGCCTGGCTGGGCCCCGTGAGGGGAGGCCCGGCCACCAGGCACTCACATTCGAGCCTCGACCTCGGGCCTGGCTCCAGGGTGGGGCCCCGGCTGCGCCACGAGCAACATCACGGTCCTTGATTTAAATCTATTCATAAAGGGCTTTTTGAACCGCTTAGTCTGACCCGTCACCCAGGACCTGTTTGCCTTGGGAGACCCTACCAGGGGCATATAGCCCCCGGCAACATAGCTCCTAGGATCACTCAGGTACTCAAACCCCTCCACCAGAATAAGGTGGCGGTTCAAGGAGGGGTATATATGCATGTGTGTACATTTTTGTCTTTGTTTTTTACTTGAGGTTTTGGTTTTATTCTGTTTTTATATTGTTGTGCACATTGGGGGCCATTTGGCTGGAGTCAAATTCCTTGTATTTTTGATAATACTTGGTAATTCAGTTTATGCTTATCCACAGAGGATGCCATTTTGCTGAATAAACAGAGAAGTCAGTGTTCCAGTTCCTGGAATGAACAGCTGCTCCCCATGTAAACAGTAGTGGCTCATTTGAGTTAATATATTTAAACTTTGGTTAAAGCTGCTAGTAAATGTGAGATCAGAGAATGTGACCAAAAGCCACGGCAGTGAATAGTGTTTCTTTTCTCTGTCCTGAAGCTCACATATGGCAGATGACCTGATCTGCAGAAGCTCTGGAAACCTCAGACATATCACAGAAACATGTTTTTGTATGAAAGTTCAGTGTGCAGTGTCATGTGTACGGTGGTGTGATGTGCTGTTTGTGAAAAAAACACAAAGAAAAAAAGAGAAAGAATACAAGCTTTCTTCCAGACCAGCTGACGTTACAATAACACATTACAGAAGATAATGTACCATAACAAGATAACATAGGTCAAGGTCAAAGTGTTTGTCATAGGCACAGTTAGGAAATGTGTTTCCCTGTACAATGAAATTCTTACTTTGCCGTCCACATTAATGCCACACAATGCAAGTGAAATATAAAGTAGATGAGCAATAACACAAATCTAAGGCACTTTAAAGCAGCAAGTGAAGGAAGCAACTAAAAATACAATAAGAATGCAATATAATGTAGAGAGAATATACAGTATGCTACGTGGGAGCCGTGAAGTGCAAATACTCAGCAGTGAGTGTACAATTATGCATATGCAAAATGAGTATGTAAACTGTACAGATGGAATTACATGAGGCAGATCCTGAGTCAGCTGTTTAGGAGTCTGATGGCAGTCGGAAAGAAAGAGTTTTTCAGTCTAGAGGTCCTGCATTTCACACTTCTGAGCCTCCAACCTGAGGGTAGGGGTATGACCAGTCCGTGCTGGGGGTGGGTGGGGTCCTTGAGGATGGAGGCAGCTTTCCTACCCACCCTGCAGTGGTAGGTTGTCTGCAGAGATAGTAGTGGAGTCCAGGTGATCTTCTCCGCAGTCTTTACCACTCTCTGCAGGCGCTTGTGGTCCATAGCAGTAGTGCTGCCATACCAGACAGTGATGCAGCTGGTCAAGATAGTTGGCAGCTCCACCCCTCTCTTCACCCGAGTGTCCAAGACATACAGCCGGAGGTCAGATGAAACAACAACAAAGTCAATCATCGACCTCCGGCCTAGGGTGTCCTGGTGCCATGTGCACTGATGGACACCCTTATGCTTGAACATGATGTTTGT